AATTCGTTTGATTCATTTTTCAGTTTATTTGATTAATTTTCTTCATTTAAAAGTGCATTAAATATATATATAATATATTTTATATATATATATATATATATATATGTGTGTGTGTGTGTGTGTATTATATGTATCATATCATGTGTGTGTGTGTGTGTGTGTGTGTGTGTTTGTGTGTGTTTTTGTTTTGTTTTGCACTCTAAAAGTGATTATTAGAGATGCAATAATGATGTGTAAAGATTTTAAATTAGCTGCAACTGAAGGTGTGATTGTATCAGTGGCAAGCTTGGATAACAAAAGTGAAAAATTGTGCATTCTTAATGTTGTTTTTGACCCATTCACCTTTTTGTCTCTTTCTGTGGAGAGTGAAGCCATATACACGTTTATTTCTGAATGGAACACACCCTCTGTCGTCACTCATTACATCTCCCTTCTTTCACAGAAAATCCCCTCTTCTTGTTTCGGGTGCTGTGGAGGAAGGAGAGAATGCGGAGAAGGAGAGGAAAAAAGCAACTGCGGCAAATTCTGACAGCACTGAACCGTATTATGACTTGCAGTCGAACTCTGCTGTCCCGGACCACACATGGAAAAAGTCTTAAGAGCATTTATATCCCTCCAGCACCACATAAATAGCTGCAATTAAAAACGTATGGTGGTTATCATTTCATAACAGAGACTGTGATGCTGCAGCAAGAATCCACAGTAAATGGGTTATAGTTACCTTCTGAAAGGCAAGTAACCATGTGTGGTTTCACTAGTGCCCTCTATTGGAATACACCGTTAATAGTCAAAAAGATCCATTATTTGCACTTCCAGCGTATAGCATTATATTAATTCTGGCCAAAAATGTGAGGCTGGATGTGATATCACTCTTTCTAGATTACATCATTTTATTTATTTTATGCAGATAAACACCAGGGTCATTCCTGTTATGTAGTACCTTTTGAACGCTGTAATTTGTCATTTAAGGAAGATATTTAATTGAGGACTTTAAAGAATATGTTCTAGTTAAGAAGGCACCTCATTATAATATGATGTAATTTCCTGGAAAATTATGTCAAAAAGAAACTGGCATTTGTTAGATGATTGGGGGGGGGAAACGTTTTGTTTGCAACATTTTGAATGGAGAAGGAAAACAATTAAGGAAACACCTGAAATGTTTCTGAATTATCATTGTATCATCACGTTTTACTTCAAATTACATAGGAAACTATATGAATTTTACTAAATTAACTAAAAAGAATTTAACATTAGAATTGCTTGTTTATATATATAGTATAGCAAACACAAGGCACTTAAAACACAGTTATTTTTCCCCTACATTTTTTTTTCCAATTAACCACAACAATAGTTTTTTTTTTACCTTGTATACTCAAATAATAAGTGCAAGTTATTCATTTTTGAACAAGCACTTAGCAGTTTATGCATCAGCTCCCAGTGATGCCAGCGATATGATAAGTGATATTTAAATAGGCCTGCAGGCAACTTTTTGCATCCCCTACATTTTTTTTTCCAATTAACCACAACAATAGTTTTTTTTTTTACTTTGTATACTCAAATAATAAGTGCAAGTTAATCATTTTTGAACAAGCACTTAGCAGTTTATGCATCAGCTCCCAGTGATGCCAGCGATATGATAAGTGATATTTAAATAGGCCTGCAGGCAACTTTTTGCAGCTCTGAGTGGAGATCATTTTGGGACCAGTATTTAGTGCTCAACACTTTGACGTGAAGTGTGTAGGTGTCTGCTTTCATTTTCTTATTTATTCTGTGATTTTGGGCCGTGGGTGAAGGCCAGATGACTAATCATTGGCCTTGTTATTTGTGTTTCTTGGTTGAAGATGTCTAAATCTTTAGCATTGTGTCATTATGCACTGTAACCTGATCGCTTTGCCTCAGTCAATGTCTTTAGCCAGTTAGTAGCATTAACATTAGTCAAATACAGATGCTCAAGTGAATTTAATTAGATTCTCTCTTTGAGGACCAGGTTACAAAAACAGTTTACAAAGGTCATTCTCAAAATGCATCTGGCTCAAAAAAACTGAAATGGCAAGTGACGTCAGTGTAAATAAAAAGCCAAAACAAATCGGTTAGTTAGGTCAAAAAAGTCAATATGAGAGTCATTATGCACTTACGCATAAGTGATGACTGAACATGTTAAGTGCTGCTGAGGGCGATGTATTCCACATTATTCCACTCTCCATCTGAACTTCTCCTAAGCTATTTATCTATTTATTTATTTGAATAAAAGGGATCTCAATATTTATTTCACAATTTTAGCCAAAGCAATTCAAGACTTCAGAGTCCGAAAGAGCAGTTAGCTTCAGTTTAAATTGAAGGACTAACTGGATTTACTTTTTTTTCTTTTCTTTTTTATTGTAATCCCAACAAATCACTTATTGATGAAACTTAACATTCATAAATCTAATTATGAGTCAGCATGCTGGATATATCTGTCTTTTGTTTGCTTTATCTTGTGTTTTGTTTCTATATTTATCAAGCTATCAGTGCTTTACTGATAATTACTGGCTAAACAAACTGTAAAGGAAAAGCTCAACTAACATATTTGTATATCAAGATGCTTGGGGGATTTTTAAAAAGTATGGACTGGCTGGTTTTGAAAGTTTATTGTATATAATTGAAGGCACTTGCTGAGGCGTTTACTGGCACATCTGCTTCACAACCTTCATAATAATGCTAGTAATGTCTGTCTGCTTAACTCTCATTAGCAGCAACATGTAATAGTTGTAGATATTTTCTTGTAGATGTAAACCATGGACACAACAGAGCTTCTTCTGTGATTATTCAGTCATAGCCTACAGTAAATTACCAGGCCAACTCATGCAGCAGTGTAGCTTTGATTAACATGAATGTAAGCAGGTCCGTGTGAACTGCAGTGTACAGAACAAAGTGATATTATGCCATTTATTACAATCTAAGGTCATGGGCTCAACATGGTCCAAAGTCTTAGTTTGTAATATGATGTTAAATGAAGTGGTTAATATAAAAAGGAGAACTGTAATTTAATGAATGTTTAAAACTAATGTTTCTCAGTGTGTTATGAATAGAATGCGAATTAGGGGGATTTTATTCCTCAAAACACAGGAACAAAGTTGTTGATCAAAATTTTGTTGGTTCTGTGAGGCAATGTTAGAAAATGGCTTCTAAACTCTGCCGTTGGTTTATATGTTTTTGCGCAATAGACTACTATTTATTACAAATATGAAATTGTTCTGATTCTAGATATCTGATATCTAGATCAATGAAACTTGAAAAGATGGTCTCAAACCAGAAAATTAAAAATTGTGTACAGATATTAAGGGCAAGCTGAAAATAAATTATTTTAGTGAAAACATTACTCGTTCTCTGAGCTTATTTGCATGAAGTATGTTTTCTTACTCTTTAGCTTATTCATTATAATCATTATAAACCATTGTATTAGAGGAAGAATGTTTTCAGTAAATTTGTAGTTTACATACATTTCAGTGCAATGAAGTCATTACATTAATTTTTTTCATGTATAATTATTTTACACACATAATTCTTAATTTAAAACACATTGAATATTTGTACTTTAAGTAAACTATATTTACAACACTTATAAGAACATTTATTTAAAACAGTGACTTTTTTGTTAAAAAAAAGCGTAATGTTGTGAAATGTTATTATAATTTAAAACTGATTTGCTGCTCAAGAAATACTTATTATTAATAATAGTGAATATTAAGCAGTTGTGCTGCTTAATATTGTGCAATATTGTGATTTGTGGTAACAGTGACATTGGTAGTTATTTTAACCCGCAATCTTAATGTTCATGGATATGTCATGAGTTAATTTCCCAAAAATATGTTTGAATGCTTTCTTCAGTCCATTAGGTTACAGAATCTTAAATACAGAAATTAGACCTTCACCTAAACTCTCATATGAGAAATGTTTAGTTTGATGACAGAATGATTCATCTACTATACCGGAAAAAACAGCACTTCCTTGATTGTTCTGTTTCCAACTCATTAAATTTGTTGATTGTCTGAGTCACAGTTTTGTCATTAGTGGTCAGCTCTTAGTTTGGGCACAGGGCCGAATATTTCTCTCATTGATTGCTGCTGTGAGCTCAGCAGTCATTACAGTGATGCTGTTACCACGGCGACTGAACTGTCTGTAGCACTTTGCTGAGCTTTGTTATTGGCTGCACTGCTTCCTTTGCTGCTCACGCAGCCAAAAGGACACTAATGCTAACTTATATGTCTGCCTAAAGAGCTTTTACCATTTAGTTAGGATTATTTAGGCATATTGCGTTCAAGATAAAGATTTCATGTCACAGCTCGGAAGGATTTGCATGCTTGCATTAGCCACATCCATAAACGAATCCAGCATATTCCCTTGAAAGTTGTCTGTGGCTTGTTTAACTGTGCAGATCATGCTTTATGCAAGCAGAATGCTTCAATGCATCACTTCTGAGATGATGGTGGCCTGTTCTAAAGCATAGGCTACACCCATTTTTTGTGCCTCTCCTCCTTTCTTACAGTTAAAATCCCAGGCCTGTGAGGGGAGTGTAGCTACATTATGCTCAACCACCGCAGTGCTGTCCCGTTAACGTTACGGCGAGGGGCGGGAGGGGTGTGTGTGTGTGTGTGTGTGTGTACTGGTTTATATATCCTGGTGGGGACTTAAACCTGACTACACACAGACTCATGGGGACTCGTGTCACGGTGGGGACCTAAATTGTGGTCCCCATGGGTACAAAAGCTTATAAATCATACAGAATTAAGTTTTTTGAAAATCTAAAAATGCAGAAAGTTTCCTGTGAGGGGTAGGTTTAGGGGTAGGGTTGGTGTAGGGCAATAGAATATACGGTCTGTACAGTAGAAAACCCATTACGCCTATGCAGAGTCCCCACAAGGATGGCTGACCAGACATGTGTGTGTGTGTGTGAGAGAGAGAGAGAGAGAGAGAGAGAATCACTGAAAGTGTTCGTGATCACTCTCTCTCTCTCTCACTCTCTCTCATCCCCTCCCCTTCTCTCTCACTCAGGCATACATACACTTTCATGCAGAGACTGGAGGACAATTTTTTCCCCCTCGCCCAGGTCGTTTTAAACCGTTCTAGTGAAGCGTTTATCATGCTAATGTCTCTTGGTTTACTGCTATTTCAACAGCCTAACAAAATTTGAAGCCTGTCATTTTAATTAAGTCGTCGCTTGACTGCGTATATATATATATATATATTATTTTTTTTCCAATACATGCTCTTTTAGGAGGATATATAGTCGCATCCAGTCTGAAAAACTGCAGGAAGCTCTTCATACGGAAGACAGGATTTGTGTTTCGAGGCTTTAGTCGCCTGAGGCGCTTTCGGTAATGCAGCACTTTTTGTGATGACGCGGTCTAGACATCGCTTCATGCTTCCATCATCATATACTGCAATGATGTCGAGTTTATTACCTGAAATGTAGTTTCTTTTTCTTGTGTATGTTTTTTATCGTCAATATAAGAAGTTTGGCTTTTGACTACTAATCCTCTCTCTCTGCATCTCTCTCTCTCTCTCTCTCTCTCTCTCTAGCTCTCTCTCTCTCTGCATCCTTGGTGACGACAGTCTGTTTTATTAAGCACCTGCCAGCAAAATGTGAGTACAATACATTTCCACTATTTCAAACAAACTGCTAGTGTAAAGCAAAATCTCTTATTCATTCAGTATGTATTGGGGTTTTATTTTTTAACCACTTTTCATGCCTGAGATGTATTGCTATACCAGTTGGGTTATGCAATGATGTCGAGTTTATTACCTGAAATGTAGTTTCTTTTTCTTGTGTATGTTTTTTATCGTCAATATAAGAAGTTTGGCTTTTGACTACTAATCCTCTCTCTCTCTCTCTCTCTAGCTCTCTCTCTCTCTGCATCCTTGGTGACGACAGTCTGTTTTATTAAGCACCTGCCAGCAAAATGTGAGTACAATACATTTCCACTATTTCAAACAAAATGCTAGTGTAAAGCAAAATCTCTTATTCATTCAGTATGTATTGGGGTTTTATTTTTTAACCACTTTTCATGCCTGAGATGTATTGCTATACCAGTTGGGTTATTAAAACGCAATTTATTGTGATCTCTGTATTATATTTAGCAAATGCCTAAGGTTCTTTGCAAGAGAGTTCGCTAACAGCACCGCAAAATCTCTCTGGTTTTAAGCTGATACATCAAAAATTGCGTAGACTTTAGTGCCCTGCTCCATCTATCGGAATTTAGGGGAAACTGCATCGAGAGACGTATTTAGATCATGGTCCTAGTACATACACAAAATGTACCTGCACTTAATTCGATGCCCTTCAGTAATTTTCGCGACCCAAGCCGTTAATGCTCGTCTCGCACAACCCAGATTGATTTATGGCGCCCACATGACACAGTTATCACAGCATCAATGATCGGCAATGCGTTTTAAACAAAGCACATAAGTTCTTTATTATTGTGTTTTGTCTATCTAAAGTCTTGCTAATCGCCACAAAGTTATCGAACAACTACAGTTGCTATGGTTACCTCGCGACTTCTGTTAGCAAGCGTGTATTTAACGTAATCCGACTAACTTTACTCAAATGTTTGAAAACAAAACGGTTGATTTTTATTTTATTTTATCATTACTAATTTATTTATTTATTTATTTTCGAGTAAAACTATAAGACGTTTTTGTTTTGCGTTTCGGGAGCCTTATAGAACCTCAGAACGCCTCTTTACACTTTTTAATTTGCACACTTGCACCTGTAAAAGTAATTTAATGTTATGTAAGGTAAGTGTGTATAATTAAAGAAAACTCAGCTTTTATGGCAAATTGCATTTACAATGTCTTATTTTAATGAGCTTTAATTGCACCATGGCCTGAATTGAGGCCCAATTCTAATTTGTTTATTCATACATTGTTGTGCTTTGGAATTTAATGTAAAAGTATTATAATGTAATATTTGTTTAGAGGGGCTGAACATTCTCATGTGTCTGATTGAGCCTATGCAGAGCCAGTGGTGCAGAGGAGACCTCAAAGTCTTCCCAACCCCTGTCCCTTATTCCCTCAGGTCTGCCCCAGATGCCAATGCAAGCCCTGGAGCCCCAGAGGGTGAAGGGGGCCCACCCGCCCCACCCAACCTCACCAGCAACCGTCGTCTCCAGCAGACACAGGCCCAAGTGGATGAGGTAAACCCTACCAATATGAACTCAAATACTATGCTGGACTATGTGAATCATGACTTTAAAAAAAACATTAATATGTTGAAACAAAAAAAGGTTATTGTGAATAAAATTTAGGGAGAAGATGTACATTGAACATTGAGTACAGGCATATGGTTCAAGGAAAGCTACTAAATACAGCACTTTTTCAAGTTTATATTATGTTCTGATCAGTATATTTTTATGGCTTTTAATATATTGGTTATGACATATATTAGTAAAAATGTTAATTATAACAGTGAGGAAGTTAGTAAGATTAAAGGGGCAGACTAAAATTTATCAACGCTAGATGGACTCTTAGATGGACTTTCTTGGAATCATAAAATTTTCATGCAGTCAAATTTTTGAGGTACTAGTCAGTCTCTCATGCAATATTCATCCTAATATTGCTTCCACTGTTGTGTCTATGAAGATATTCCGTAATTTCTATTAAAAATCGTCTTTCAGTTTCACATCGAATATTACTGATGCAATGCAATGATGATGGTATGTTGCTGATTTCTTAGATTCTAAGTTGCTCTGTCTATATTTTGCATATGTGTTCAGGTGGTTGATATCATGCGTGTGAATGTGGACAAGGTTCTGGAAAGAGATCAGAAGCTATCAGAACTGGACGACCGGGCAGACGCGCTGCAGGCCGGAGCATCGCAGTTTGAGAGCAGCGCTGCTAAACTGAAAAACAAGTACTGGTGGAAGAATATGAAGGTGCGATTTGACTGTAGATGCTGGGTTGGGTTTATTTACATCTAGAATCCTTGTTCTCAGGTCCTATTTTATTTCAATTACTTTACGATACATATTTAAATTCACTGTTCAAACGAAATCACTGAATACAAATACACATCTCACCTAATTCAAGAAATGTATTTGTTGCCTAATGTAAATCAGCTTTAAAACCATTCTTAGGTAAACTGTCACATTCACTTTACATTTACATAAAAATAGTTTTATGAAGGACACCTTTTGGCTTTAGATTTTGTAGTTCACTTATAAAAAAATCTAAATGATTATATTAGTCTCAATTTAGATAGATAATTAGTATAGATAATTGATAAATATATAAATGAATACAAAATGGTGTAAAAACATTTTTTACAGAAATTGCTAGTAAGTTTCACAATTGATTGCAAAGAATTGGCAAGTGACATTGAATTAAACATCATAGCATTTTCTTTAAATTCCAACTTTGAAAAATCATTTTCTACAGTATAGTGCCTCCTTCGGTGTTTCTATATTGCCAGCAGTAAAGATGGCTCATGGGGCAAAGCTGACTCAACACTAAAGCAGAAGCATTCTCATTTGGGTATAACCTGAATGCAGTCCGGCCCATAAGTCACAGCGCTGGCTGGCGAGCGTTTGAGATATATTAGGCAAGTTGCAGTTGTGACGTAAGCTGCAGAGTCCAGCTACTCCTGAGACGTGCGGACGATCACAACCATCAGACGGTTACCATCTCCTTTCATTTCATTTACTTTCTAATTGCCAAAATAATTCCATTGATCATCTATTAATAGAAGGGACTTTTTAGAGCATGGCATGAATGCAAATGCACAGTTCATTTAAATAGTTTTAAATAATAAATGAGGAATTCATAATTTAATTTATTCCTTTTTTCTTAGTAAGAAAATGTCTTGCTTTGAAAGAAGAGGCACTTGAGATGTGTTGTGAACATCTTGTACGGCATTGGTCCATCTGACAGCCTCACTTTACATCTTTGTCTGTCACTGCATTTCTTTGTACCTCTCTTGAGTGCTTTGCAACAGTGCCCGAGCTTACTCAAAAACTCCTTCGGTTAGGAATATCTACTTATGGTTTTAGATTGGAGAATGTGTTGGCCCTTTTTAGGCCAAAAAAATAATACAAAAGAATGGGTGATGCAATAATGCAGATCTGTAGCACTGGTCCAAATGAACCCATGAATAACTACAGAGGGAAAATGAAACGCAAACTTCAGTTAAGTTTGAGTTTAGGATCAAGTCATGCATTTATGCATAGAAGCCAAAGTGTACTAGTTTACCCAGAAACAACAGCTGTGGTCCTATCGTTAGAGTATTAACAAAGTGCAACTGCAATGAGAAATTACAGGAATATTTTTTAGAATTGTTTTTACCCTCCTCCACATATAGACTCCTAGAAGCAACTTGTTTTCGCTTCTTAATATGGACCTTTATAGACCCGAATGGTTTTAGAGCGGTAAAGACTGTGAATTAAATGTCTGAAATTGACTATTGATTTAGGATGTTAATTCCTTCTAAAACATGGATAGCGCAATTTTTATAATTCATTTTAAGATTTAAAACGTTTAAAAAGCATACGAGAACGATTGTAGGATGTTTTAAGCATCTGCAGTCGACTTGAGGGGTATATCTGATCACAGATCGTCACTTTTGCTGTTTGATGTTATGTCTTTGACGTTAATGTCAGCCAGATCTGGAGGAAAAAACGGATGAAAAAATTTTACATTAATGGTACGATGTGGTGTAAAAGAAAGATCTAACATTACAGCAGTGATCACAATATAAAATATTTTAAAGTAGATTTTTTTTTATATTTATATATTCAAGATTAATGTGACAAGTGTGGTCACAAATGCAATTTATTTAGATTTATGTATTGATAATATAAATGTGACTATTAAAAAATTGGTAAAAATCAATGGTGAAATTCAGATCCTGATCATATTAACCCCTTGCACCTCCTGACTTTACTGGCAACATGATGTCTTTGGGTTGAATGAACTACTGCTGATATGCAAAATGAAAGAGAAATAATGTGACTAGTTTAATGTATTTGTAAATATCTGGGATTCAGTGTGGGAGCAGATACCTAATCAGCACTGGAGAGGAAAATGTTCAGGGATGTACCTCGGCATGTGTTTGTGTAAAATATACATGGGCACTTTAACCACCTTCATTATAGTGATTGTAGGTTTAACTGGACATTTTTGGGGTATTATGGACATATTGTCCAGCACCTAAAACTATGGCAATTTGCTCTTGTTGATGTGGAATTTAATGCAAGATCATTATGTGTGAATAATATCTCCTACATTCAGCATTAACCCAAACTGCAAACCTAATGCAGGACATTGAATGTTATTCCCTTAAAAATAAAAAATAAAACTGACTACATTGTGTTTTATGCAACCTATTCATTTGTAAACATGCACTGCAGAGATGCATAAAATAACAGTTCCTGTCCCTCAGCATTTGGAGCCAAGCTGCTTACTCGTGGTTCATTTCAAAGCATGTCTGCTTGCCCACCATGTGCGGATTCTAATAAAGTGCTGATGCTGTTTCTCGCTCCTCCCCTGTGTAGTTTTTTTTTTGTGAGCGGGTGGGGATACAGAAGCAAAGTTACCTCTGAAAAGAGAGTTGGAACAGTTCACATCACATGCAACTGTAGTAAATGAAGAGCACAAGAAGACTTGGTGAATATGGTATGATTTAATCGGTTATTAATCAGCAACAATGCTCATCCAAATCACAAAGTGAAATGAATCATACAAAGCGGTGATACAGAAATGTTTCGTACTACAGCACAAATGAGTAACCTAATTAGGAAGCGTGTACATGAAATGCACTTAATGTCTATTGAACAATCATGTATGAACAGTAACTGTCTTATTAACATGAAAGAACATTTCTAGATGCAAGTTCTCAGCTAAAACAATCTGTTTTCAGCATCTACTGGTACATAGAGATTAAAGCTAAATCATACATGAAAATTAATCAAGACAAGATCTACGGTTTATAGCAAGAGAGGTCTACGCTTTTACACAAACTAAACAAATCAAGGAGAAAAAAAAAACGGTTACATGAGATAAAGTTCAAAAAGACAGGAGCAACAAGAAATGTATATAAAAAGCCATAAATGATATGAAAATTAAAAACCAGGATCCATGAGCCTACTGTCGAAGCAGAATTTTGTATGTATTCACATTTTGAAAAACAACGGCATGTCTTAAAAACGAAGCAATCACAATATTTTAGCAAAAATGAGGGGTTGTCGTAAACGAAGCACTCAACACCTATATATGACCGAACTATCAGACAAAGATCTGATGATACGAAGCATAAAATAAGACTGTTTCACTATAAAACACTGAACTCGGCGGGACTGATTTTACAGAGTTTAAGTATGAATGAACCGACGATGATAAAAGAAATAAAACTACAGCAAAAGACGCACTTAACCGTCATCCTCGAAAAAGCAGCAGATTTTCACAGCCACTACTACATTGACTAAAAACCATCTGGGCAATTTAAATTTTAAAAATTAGCCTTGAGTATCTTAAAATCCTGTGCACACGGACTACTGCACAGGTATGAGGATACTACATCTGAAACAGTCTAGTTTGGTAGTTGCTCTGAAATTATTGGCACAAGTCATTGGTAACCAATAAGGTGTGCTTAGCATGATAACGTTTTCAATGGAACCGTTAATTGTGCATCATCTTTTTGGATCCCATGATGTTAACAGGCTACATACCTGTCCTTCGAGTTTGCATGCTTAATTATTACGCAGACAAAATATATTTTTTCCCCATGCAAAAACAAAACAAAAAAACAATTGTGCTCAATCATACTGCGAGCAAACATTTCGGTTAACGAGCTTCAAAAACAAAAAAAACAAAAAAAAGAAAAAGAAGAAAAAAAATTGTCTGGCATGGCAGGCAACATCAAAAGCACACTTTGTCAGATAAAAAAAAAAAAATGCAAAAAAAATGCAAAAAAATTATTGACATAGCCTATTAAAACCCTTCGAAAAATATACCCACCAATTTTCAATGAAGCCCCTTATCTCTTCATTTCTTTTTTTTGAATTTGCCCACCATCTCGTTCTCGCTTGTGTTGTTCACTTTTGAACAATCAATGGCGTCATCGTCGTCATCTTCTTCGTCTTCTGGGTCTGCGTCGTTCTCGCTCACCCTGGTGTCTTCATCATCATCGTTTGGATTTTGCGACGAATCATCAGAGGTGCGGGATTGTTTGGGAGAGGGTGCATCGGTCTCCTCTTCGTCTTCCTCCGCTGATGCCATGGGGAGTTTTTCGAGCACGACTGCGAGTCTGACTTTGCTTGGACGTCCTCTCTTACGACGTGGAGCAGCGCCATCGGCGTTCTCACCTCCCGTCTCTCCACCTTCTGCGGCACGTGCCTTGACTTTTCCGGTACCTGGAGGTCGGCCTCTCTTGCGGGGAGTGTCTCCGACTTTATGTTCGACAATCTTGACCTTTTTGCCAGAACCTGGAGGCCGGCCTCTCTTGCGAGGAGTTCCGTCGGTGTTTCGTTGAATGACCTTCAATTTGGTGCCAGAGCCTGGGGGACGGCCCCTCTTGCGAGGAGATCCGTCAGCCTGCTGAATCTTCTTCACCTTGTTGGGAGAGCCTGGAGGGCGGCCTCTCCTTTTTGGGGTTCCATCTGAGGCCCTGGCGATCTTGGCAACCTTGGTAGAACCTGCAGGACGACCCCTCTTTCTCTTCAACGAGCCCGCTGGCCTCCCTCTTTTTCGTGGAGAACCGTTGGCGGCATCAAGGCTGTTTTCGACGCCAGCTTGTTTGGCTCTGCCACTTTGCGAACCGGATTTGGCACCGTACTTGCGTGGTCTTCCTCTACCTCTTTTTACCTTGGTATCTTCGGCGATGGGATGAATGCGTGGTCTTCCGAGCGGCTTTGACAGTCTCCGCTTGCGCTGTAAACTCAACCTGTGAAGTCTCTCTGATTCTTCCTCAGGTGTGAGCGGGATCTTTCTCGGCCTGCCGGGCATTTTTATCTTCTTTGGTCGACCACGTTTCCTCACCTTGGTCTTTATGACTATGTCGGGAGAAAAGAAGTCCACCTTTTTAGATGGCCTGGCATTGTGTGTCGGCGCTTTCTCGGTAGTGAACTTCTTATTGAGCGACCCCCGTGGTCTGCCTCGTCCACGTTTGGGTGGATGGGTGCTGCCGTTGGGCAGAGGGCTCTCGGTTCCTTCTTTATTCTCAACCTCCATCACGTTGCAGCTTCTCGCTCACAACTTCAGGCGTATCAGTGCCACACTCTTCTGTTTGGTGCTGAGAATCTGAAAACAACAAGATGAGAGGGAGAAAATGGTTTGAGATGAAGATACAAGACATTTACACAGACGCTTTTATCCAAAGCGACTTACAAATGAGGACAATGGAAGCAATCAAAATCAACAAAAGAGCAATGTGCTATGACAAGTCTCAGTTAGCTTAACGAATAACACGTAGCAAGGTTTTTTTTAATTATATAATAAATAAAAAGAAAACAGATAGAATAGGAAAAAGAATAGAGCAAGCTAGTGTTTTGAGTTAAGCACTTGAATATACCTCAATATAGTTTTCCCTCCAAAACCAGAATTGATTATTTTCTACAATACACTATTTTTGCGCAAACGTAAAACAACAACGAGCAAGCTGTTTGCATACCTTGTATTTTCAAGCATACAACTTTTATTTTATATTCTTAAAAAAGAAACGCTAATTTTACATAGGTGGAAATGTTCAATAAAATGTAAATAAAAGTAAAATAAGTTTACGGCACAGCCAAACAAAAAACGTACAATGAAAGGAAAAAAGCAAATATGAACCTATTTATTGAAACCTCAAATAAATTAATATAAAAAAAGACTTCATCTCTCTTTATTTACTAATATATATATATATATATATAACGATTGGGTTTAATTATATAACGATTCAACAACTTCACCAAATCCATTTATATAGTTCATTCACAACAGATATAATGATGTTAAACTATTAGGGTGTTGATATTGGTTTTAAAAAATAGTTTGTAAAAAAAAAAAAAAAAATCATAGTAAAAAAATATGGAAGTAAATAAAAATTACGCAACTGAATTAAATGCTGTTTTTGGCTAAGAAAGAAAGCGCTAAAATCGTACCATAATATTTCATATTTAAACGAATATTTAAACATAAAAATGCACTCACTAAAAACCATTTTCATAAAATTGGAGAGGATATGAGGTGCAATGGTGTTTTTTTATTTTATTTTGTGAGCAATTTATTTGAAAACAGACCGAATCGACTGAAGCGCTGTTTGCAGACTCGAGACAATAGAAAAGCCATCTCAGTATTGACAACAGAAAGGAATCGGCTAGAGAAGTTCGAACACGCTGCTAGTCTACTTCATGCAGGCTTAACGGGTGCAAATGTACAGCTTTATCACAGCATGAAAAAAACTGCATCGTTTTTTACCGCGAGATCTTACATATTACAAAATATTGACGATAATATTCTGCTCGTTTAATTTTTATGGAGCAATAACGCAAAATTCGTCAAAATAATTTAAAATACGAACGATTTCATGCAGTATAACAGGCATAAAAGAGCGGATGCAGTAGACTGGCTGCCATCATGTAACGTTACAGTGAAGCCCGCGAGCTTTTGTAGTTCCAGGTAAAATGTGAGGCACTGGCGATTTTTGTTAGCTGCCTGCTAACACGACTAAGACAACTTTTCAATGGAAAAAGACACTACTTTCATTCGTTCGATAATAAAAAACGGCAAATATTCGAAACACAACGCACCTTACTCGCAAAGCGCTTTCACAACAGCAGAGATGATCTTTTTCATGCATTCGACAATATTTTCGATGCAAACAGCATCGGACAGTGGGCGGGCGACTCTGATTATTTGAAAGGCAATGCCAGTTCTTCCTCGTCTCTCGCTCAGCGTCGACGGTTCGTGGCACAGCGCCGCCTACTGTGGTGGAGAGTGCGAACGTGAACGTGAAGAATGAACGTATTAAATAAAGAAATAAAGCAGTTGAGTGCGAGTGTGTGTGTAAATGTAATGTGAAAGAGTCCAATCAAATCACGTAAGCTGTATCAATGTATAGCTGAAGAACACACGACTACAAAAATTCCAGTTATGAGTTCTTGAATAGGAATTTGCCAATTCTAAAAAGTGAAAAAATTGAAAAGTAATTAAACTTCCTTTGAGCATTTTTTATTTTTATTTAAAGACCATATGGCATTTCTTTAATAACACATAAAATGCCCCTATTGTCTGTCAGATCAAACTTAGATGGCCTGAGATATCACATCTGTCTCTCTGCACACAGTTCAACAAAAAAAAGCATAGCCCGCCCTTTTTAGCCAATCAGAAACGCGTTCTGCTTTTCAATCATTTGCCGCGTTTCGGTTTGCTAACATCCGGTTTGCTGAGCTCTTGGGGGGCGGGATTTCGGAGGACGTTGTCGTTTGGTTGAAAGAGAAAGAACAAAAAAGCTTCAACATTACAAGAGGTAAAACAGTAATATATGCAATATATAATAATATATACTGACTGTAATATATATATTATACATATATAATAATGATATAGTAATGTAATATATTGTATAATATTGTTTAATCCCTATATTTCAGTAACATCATATATTATTTAATCCCTGTTTTATGATTTACCACCATAAGAACTTCTCTAAAAGCATAAATACAAAAAAATCACATGTGTAATCGTTTTTGAGGTTATGTTCTTAGATAAGTCTTGGAGTAAGTTTCTGGCTCTGCAAATACATATAAAACCAAATGTACCTGAATTATTGTTTAGATTTATTATTTGTATTATTCAGGTATGTTTTTCTTTTAAACTAAAAATAGGATTGCATACTGTCAGTTTATGTTTTATGAACTTATCACAGACAGGCTACCTAACAAAATTATATGCCTACTTAAGCATATTCTCAATTACACATTATTTATTCATTTATTTTTGATTATATATCGATCAACGGACAAGTAGCCTATAGGCAAAATATACAGAAAGCAGCATGTTTGTCCTATACTTCTTTACTTAATCGGTTGATCAGATGTAATTAAAACATGTGTAATTAAGAATTCTAGGTATACATCTTTTAAATTGACATGTTCCAGTTTATTAGTTTTAAAATACATTTCTCACACAATAAATATATATATATATAAGAACTCAACTAAAGATTAATAAAATGAACTTAGTAAGGAAAGCAATTTCACCCCAAAGCTGACTTGTTTTCTTATAAACTTGAACTAGTTGGTCAACTTTTTAAGTTTAATTTAAACTGAGTACATAATTATTTGACATCTTTTTCTTGTATTGCAAATAAGTAAACGTATCATCATACTTATAGCTTGCTATATTTAGGCTATATATGGGTTTTGCACTTTAAGTATGCACTGAAAAGAAATCTGGTGTATATGTTCAATAAAAAAATGAGCCAATATCCAATATATTTATATAAGTACACATATAAGAATACTACCACTGATAGTAACTTAGAAAATACACTTGAACTAAAAGTATACTTGGGGAATACTAATAAAGAATACACTTACCCGAGTGTGTGAACTATGCTGTTCACTTAAATTTGATGCCAGAAAGATTAAAGCATTATTTTTAAGGAAGGAAATATTTCTGCATAATAGGATTGAATACAAAGTGAGAGACAACTTAAATGCATCAAGTATTTTATGAAAAAAATAAAATAAAACTACATAGGCAATAAAAGTATAACAATTTATTCAATAGAAGACAGAGGTACATATCATTTGATTGCCTTTATTGTATGCTATCCATTTAAATGTATGATGATGAATGAGGGAATGCAAATTGGCTGATATTCTATCAAATAATGTGACTAAATTTGTATTTTGTTAAGACAGTAAGTCCATCCAGCACATCATAGAGTAGAAAAACACACTGGATTTTCAAGATACATTAAGTGAAAATAACTAGTCTATAGTCTCTGATGGGTGCTTAAAGGGATAGTTCACCCAAAAATGAAAATTTGATGTTTATCTGCTTACCCCCAGGGCATCCAAGATGTAGGTGACTTTGTTTCTTCAGTAGAACACAAATTATGATTTTTAACTCCAGCCGTTGCAGTCTATCAGTCGTATAATGCATGGCAATGGTAAAAAAATCTAGGAGAAAAAAAAATCATGCAAAGCCAAATCCAAATAAACCCTGTGGCTCGTGACGACACATTGATGTCCTAAGACACGAAACGATCGGTTTGTGCCAGAAACCGAACAGTATTTATATCATTTTTTACCTCTGATTCACCGCAATGTCCAACTTCCTTGAGTGCACGCACGGCGTGAGGTGTGTACGCGCTCTGGCGTAGTTTACATAAGCGCCGGAAGTGATCTCTTGCGTGTATACGTCACTCATTGTTTACACAGTGCAGTCATTGTAGGTACGATGGCTAATCAAAATGGTACTTACTTGCGCTTATCCGGATTGTTCAAACCAACTTAAAACTAAAAGATTACGTTCTCTCGCGCGAACTCATTCGGGAGTGGTGACTTTCCACGTATTCCCAACTTCTGAGCCTGCTCGCCTGAAGTTATGGTTGATTGCTCTTCGGCTGGATATCAACACACTTTACACCATTAACGTAAACTACGCCAGAGAGCGTACACACCTCACGCACCGGATGCCGTGCATGCGCTCAAGGAAGTTGGACATTGCGGTGAATCAGAGGTAAAAAAATGATATAAATACTGTTCAGTTTCTGGCACAAACCGAACGTTTCGTGTCTTAGGACATCAATGTGTCGTCACGAGCCACAGGGTTTAATTTGGATTTGTCTGTGCATGTTTTTTTACTCTCAGCTAGATTTTGTTACCATTGCCATGCATTATATGACTGATAGACTGCAACGCCTGGACTTAAAAATCATAATTTGTGTTCTACTGAAGAAACAAAGTCACCTACATCTTGGATGCCCTGGGGGTAAGCAGATAAACATAACATTTTAATTTTTGGGTGAACTATCCCTTTAACTTCCCTATTATAGTGACATTTTCTCCAGAGCTGGGAAACGTCCTTCAAACGCAGAATGAAGAAAAACAAGAGGTTGTAGACATTAATAGTCCTCATCTCACTCTTTTTTCTTTTTTTATATGATTTCTTCAGCATTGTATATTCCCATCTTTCCAAACACAATTTGCAATTGTAGATTTTCTCTACCTTATCCATTAAAACAAGACATTGAGGCCTCCCTCTCTTTCGTGGAGGACCATTGGCGACATCAAGGCTGATTTTGACGCTAGCTAATTTGTCTCTGCCACTTTACGAACTAGATTTAGCGCCATACTTGTGCGGTCTTCCTCTTGCCCTTTTTACCTTGGGACCTTCGATGATGGGATTTATGCTTGGTTTTCCAAGGGGCTTTGACTGTCTCCGCTTGCAACCTTGGTAGAACCTGCAGGACAACCCCTCTTTTTCTTCAACGAGCCCGCTGGCCTCCCTCTCTTTCGTGGAGGGCCGCTGGCGGCATCAAGGCTGATTTCAACGCCAGCTTGTTTGGCTCCGCCACTTTGCGAACCGGATTTGGCACCGTACTTGCGTGGTCTTCCTCTACCTCTTTTTACCTTGGGACTTTTGGTGATGGGATGAATGCGTGGTCTTCCGAGCGGCTTTGACAGTCTTCGCTTGCGCTGTAAACTCAACCTGTGAAGTCTCTCTGATTCTTCCTCAGGCGTGAGCGGGATCTTTCTTGGCCTACCAGGCAGTTTTATCTTTTTTGGTCGACCACGTTTCTTCACATTGGTCTCTGTGTCTTTGTCAGGTGAAAAGTTGTTCATCTTGTTTGATGGCCTGGCACTGTGTTTCTTGGCAGTGACCTTCTTATTGGGTGACCCTCGTGGTCTGCCCCTTCCTCTTTTTACCTTGGGATCTTCGGCGATGGGATGAATGCGTGGTCTTCCGAGCGGCTTTGACAGTCTCCTCTTGCGCTGTAAACTCAACCTGTGAAGTCTCTCTGATTCTTCCTCAGGTGTGAGCGGGATCTTTCTCGGCCTGCCGGGCATTTTTATCTTCTTTGGTCGACCACGTTTCCTCACCTTGGTCTTTATGACTATGTCGGGAGAAAAGAAGTCCACCTTTTTAGATGGCCTGGCATTGTGTGTCGGCGCTTTCTCGGTAGTGAACTTCTTATTGAGCGACCCCCGTGGTCTGCCTCGTCCACGTTTGGGTGGATGGGTGCTGCCGTTGGGCAGAGGGCTCTCGGTTCCTTCTTTATTCTCAACCTCCATCACGTTGCAGCTTCTCGCTCACAACTTCAGGCGTATCAGTGCCACACTCTTCTGTTTGGTGCTGAGAATCTGAAAACAACAAGATGAGAGGGAGAAAATGGTTTGAGATGAAGATACAAGACATTATTTGAATTAAGCACTTGAATTGACACTTCATATTGTTTTCCCTCCAAAACCAGAATTTACAATTTACCACAAAAAACAATTTTTGTGCAAATGTACAACAACAAGCAAAGCAAATTTCCCCCACCATCTTGTGTACAACTTTAATTATTTTATATTCTTAAAAGAAAACTAATTTTACAAAGGTGGAATTGTTCAATGAAATGCAGTCCTTAAGTTTTGCCTCTGTCACCATCTCTTTTTGAAATCCTGCAATTGCAGCGGTTTGCGGAATTATCTTCGTTGCGTGGGTTTTGCACCGGCACGTGCTCCTCAAAACATTAGATTCATCTAATTGCACCGGCACACACTCCTCAAAACATTAGATTCATCTGCGCTGGAGCAGCGCAGATGAATCTAATGTTTTGAGGAGTATGTGTGGCACTCAGTCACCGCACCAGTGTGGATATTTACTGTACTTCACAATCACAGATTCTAGCCAACGTCTTGGAATATACGACCCAAATAAGAATTTTCACCGTATATTGTCATCTGAACAAGTTAGTAACAAGTCTGCCACGTTTGTTCTGACCAACTGAGGAAAAAAGCATAAATCGAGCTACCAATGGCGATTTAATCTAAATTAGCTCATATCACATCAAACCGTGCAAATTATTATTATTGTTATACTTTCTCAAATTGTTTATGTTAACAACATCAGCGTTACGTGACTATGTGATTATAGTGTGTATAAGAGAGTAGATATAAATTTCTGTACAGTCTAATATCTAATTGTCATACCAATCAAATTTCATATTAAATTCTTTTAACCCAAAAAGCTCCCTTCCGACTGGTTGTCTTTAAAATACAAATCTTGTGTAATCCCAGGCTATCTGTAATAATCAGAAGCCCATTTAAAACTGCAATATAATTTAATTTAATTCACATGTGTTTCTTAAACACAATCCTTTCTGGATTACAATCTGCCATTAAAATGATAAATTTAATTATTTCAGCTGATGTGAGAAAAGGCTATAAACGATTGGCCACCTGCAGGACCCTCACATGTGATATAGGGACAACTTCTTTATGTTTACATACGTGGCGTAACGACGCGGCAGCATGCTCGAATTTCCCGCGAAAACCTACCCGAACCACTCAAATGAAAAACATTATTATAAGCTAACAGTTGTGAAACAGGATGAAGTAAGGCGATAGTTTTGAACGCTGGCTGGTTATGTGCTTGCTCAAATATTGATTACGGACTGCAGCTTTAAATAAGTTTACTGCAGACAATGAAAAAGGAATAAATTAATATAAAACAGACTTTAAGTCTAGGTGATCAAAATCAATTATTATTTACAAGATATTATTTAATATATTTGTTTGGCACTTAGGACTATTGTGTTTAATTACAAAATATTAACCATTCAACAACTTCACTGAATCTATTTATAAAGTTCATTCACAACTGATAAAATAATGCTAAGGCTATTAATATTATAGTTTTTAGATGATAAAAATCGTTTGTAAAAAAAAATAATAGCAAAAAATACGGAAGTAAATTAAAATTACACAACTGAATTAAATGCTGTTTTTGGCTAAGAAAGCGCTAAAACAGCTAAAAAAACATGTACGTTAATTATATACACACAAACAAATATTTAAATATGAAAATGCACTCACTAAAAACCCTTTTCATAAGAATGGAGGAGATATGAGTTGCATGTTTTTTTTTTGATAATTGTGTGAGAGGTTTATTTGAAAACGGACCGCATCGACTGAAGCACAGTTGCAGACTCGAGACAATAGAAAACCCATCTCGCCAACGAATCGGCTAACTTACATCTTTATCACAGCATGAAAAATACTACATCGTTTTTACAGCGAGATCTTACAGATTACAAAACATTGTGTTTAAATTCTAAATGAGTTAAAAATATACACTATTTCACGCAGTATAACAGGCATAAAAGAGCGGATGCAGTAGACTGGCTGCCATCATGTAACGTTACAGTGAAGCCCGCGAGCTTTTGTAGTTCCAGGTAAAATGTGAGGCACTGGCGATTTTTGTTAGCTGCCTGCTAACACGACTAAGACAACTTTTCAATGGAAAAAACGACTACTTTCATTCGTTCGATAATAAAAATCGGCAAATATTCGAAACACAACGCACCTTACTCGCAAAGCGCTTTCACAACAGCAGAGATGATGGACGGTGGGCGACTCTGATTATTTGAAAGGCAAAATGCCAGTTCTTCCTCGTCTCTCGCTCAGCGTCGACGGTTCGTGGCACAGCGCCGCCTACTGTGGTGGAGAGTGCGAACGTGAAGAATCAACGTATGGGTCAAATTAAATAAATAAACAGTTATGTGTGAACGTATTGTGATAGAGTCCAATCACGTAAGCTGTATCTTTTTATAGCCGAAGAAAACACGAGTAAAATCGTTCCAGTTATGAGCTGCTGAAAAGAAATATGCATTCTAAAAAGTGGAAAAAATGGGAAAAGGTTATTTGAGCATTTTTTTAATTTAAAGACCTATAGCATTTCTTTAATAACACACATAAAATGCCAAATCCTTCCTCTGTATCATTCAGTGTATCATCTGATTCATTCAGTTATGAACCAAAAATTAAATGTTTGCATTCCTTGGAGGAACATACACTCAAGAAATGGGAAGATGGCTCATTTTTTTCGTTTTGTTTAACAAATGGAAAACGAGATTTTGGCTCGACGTCTCTTATTTTGTTTGTGGTTTACAAATCGGTTTATGGCTTAGATATTTCATTTCATGTGGGCGGCACTGAAACGTCTATTTCATTTGATTGGTCAAACAGCCACCAAAATTCCCTTAATCTTTTCACATATAAGTCATTGTACTATTAAAAACATCCTGTAAGTTTCATAGCTCAAAACTTTCTCGTTAGTCTAAAAACAGCTTATATTGAAGCCAGTCTGCGAAAATGACAGCTTGTGGACAGGCCCCTAACCAGCTATGAGGCCACCGAGGTCCGGACCTCGGTAAATTTTTCATGTTCAAAAATAAAATGTGTTCTTTGAATGACTAATTTGCTGTTAAACTCCACATATGAATGCCTGCATGACTTGTATTATTCGGTTTAGACAGTTTGCAAGAATGTTTAGCGTCCCTGGTATGAAAATGATCGCTGCGACACGCTGGAGGAGTTAACGAAGCTTGAGAGAGTTGTGAGTGAAGGCGTGGGCGCAGCATCCAGATCCAGCCATTATAAGCTTTTTTGGACTCGTCTATTCCACTTAAAGGGGTCATATGATGCGATTTCAAGTTTTCCTTTCTCTTTGGAGTGTTACAAGCTGATTGTGCATAGATAAGATCCCTGAAGTTGCAAAGACTAAAGTCTGAAATCCAAAGAGATATTCTTTATCAAAGTTAAGACTCTGCCACGCCCCCCCCTAAAACACCCCCACATATCTACCTCAACTATGTGGAAATATTTGCATAATGCCGCCCAAATGTGCACGCAAAGAAAGAAGGCGTGGTTTCAGTAACCGCAGTTAGTGTTGAAGCAGCCATGTCAGGAAGACGCTGTGTGTTTCTAGGCGAAAGCAAAAGCACTTTATTTGGCCTTCCAGAAGTAGATGCATTTAGGAATCTTT